ACCATTCGAATTTTATAGGCGAGTCATAAGGACATTGTTAGGTATTTGGCAAGTGAGTTTTATGTAGGTTTTTTTAGTTGTAGGATATTATTAGAATATTTTTTTTGTGTTTGAAAAGATAGTTGAGTTTTTTTGTGATTGGATGTGATGTTTGTGAGAGAAAAAATGAAATAATTACGAGATTTGATGTGATAATTTGTTCGGATTTGTTTTTTTAATTTTACAAAAGTCTATCTTTTAGTGAAAAAAATAAAAAAAAACCCAAAAAAATGTTTGGCATACTATTATTGTTATCCATAATTGTATTTAATAAAAAACGTGGAACCAACTGTTGACTTTCATATGGAAAATAAATTGTCTACTGGATGATATTATATTAAGTTTGGCATCTTCTCAAAAAGTTAAACAGATTTTTAAAAAATTCAAAACTTATCATTTTTGACAAAAAAAAATATTAAAAAATTAATTTTTCACGCATCAATTCACACAGCCGTAGAGCTCATCAATTGACCCGTGAAGCTCTTTGCTGCGTTTGAAAGGAAAAATTGCACAGTTTGGTGTAATTTTCACACACTGTTATATGGTTTATGGAGGCCCATCACGGATTCCGTTTTGATAATCTGAACCGTTCAATGTGGAGAACTCGTCGAGTCCTATATATTTATAAAAAATCACATTGATCGGATATCGATAACTATATGATCAAATTAGTTTTGTATAAAAAAATGGATACTGTTAAAATTAACGATTGAAAAAAAACACATCTGATCAGATAGCTATCGATATCCAATCAACGTGATTTTTTACAAGCATATAGTACTCGGCAATTTTTACACATTGAACGGTTCAGATTATTAAAAAGGGACCCGTGATGGCCCCCACGGGCCGAACAAAATTGTTCAATGCAATACCCGAAAATAAGCCAATAATTTCTTACCATCAACTCAACTCTCAATTATACGGTTGTTGACTTTTCATTTTTAATATTCTCCTACACACTTCTTTATACAATTTTTTAATATATATTTTTTCATAAAAAGTCAAAAAGTTAACCCAAACATCCATATTTTTTTTCTCAACTTTTTATTCTAAAAAGATAAAAAATACACTTATTTAAGACACCCCAAATATTTTTATCAAATTAGTTATTTTCATTTTTTAATTAAAATAGTGAATAAATCATTAAATTTTATTTCAACTTTATTAAGTAAATAATTTTAGTTTTGACTCAACAAATATAACTAGTAGTTTATCCTTGTCAATTTTTATATTTTGAAATTAATTGTGTTGCGTTTATAAAAAATAATTTTAAATTAAAATAAATAAAATAATATTTAAATAGTATAAAGAAATAATAAAGAGTTTGTTGGAGAATGTGTTTAAAAAGATGTAAAATTAAAATAAAAAAGTAATTTTTACGTTAAAATATAAGAAAATTGTAACTAATTTGATATTGATGCTCTTACTACACATACTCTTCTTTGGCTTATATTAGACATTGTTAGCACATTTCCATTCTAAGAAATACAATTATATTAGACGGGTGTTTTAGAAAGTTGGTAAAAAATTGATTTTTGATTTTTTATCAAGATTTTTAACTTTTTGAAAAGTGATTTGGGAAGTTAGTAAAAAGTTAATTTTTGACTTTTTAATTTAATATTTATTTATGGTATTAAATCAAATTAAAATAACTAAAATACCCTTACTTAATATTTACTTTTTACTTTTTCACTTTTTTCTCATAGGCCCAAGTTGTAATTTCAAGTGTTGCTTTTTTGATTTCCCAAATGAATAAAGTGGCGTTTTTGGCCGGAAGTTCTTTTCTCCAATTGATAAAAAACGTGGCGTTTTGCCAAGCTTCCCAAAACGGCACATTGTTAGCACATTTCCATTCTAAGAAATACAATAAAAGACTTGACTTATTCATACTCAAAGAAGAAACAAGAGAAGACACAAAAGAAAAATTTGTGGGAACTTTTAAGGAATAAAAAACAACTTCATACCCATAGGATGTTTTATTTTGACTTTTGGCCCCTTTGTTCACAAGATTAAAAGCATTATGCATTTTAATAAAAAAACCAAATATGATGAACCCCTAAATATTAAATTATTAATTAAAAACATTTTAAAAGATAAAAAAAAGAAGTTACTTGAGGATGCGTAAGTTTCACTCTTATGTGATCGCTTCTCTTTAGGGGTGGGCAACAGTTTATCCGATTCGCAAAAACTGCCCAACCAGCCGAATCCGCATACAAATGGGTGGTTTCGCAAATACAATGCGGACGGATGTGGTTTGAAATATGGTATCTTTGCGGGTTGCGGAGCAAGAAACCGCCCGCATTTTATTTATTTATTTATTTTTTTATCTTAACTATTGATTTCATTTCTATATCCCACTTAGATATTTTTGTCCAAAACAAAACACCATTTATTTTTTGAACTTACTCTAGCATTACATTTGCTAATAGTATTATATCAACTGAAACTGAATAAATACTAATCATATTATTATTGTTACATAACTGAACTTGTCCTGGATGAAGTGTGATTTGGAATTTTAAATTCCTTAATGAATATGGAGTTATAGTTTAGAATTTTGAAATATATGCTTGTGTTAGTTTATGATTTGATTTAAGATTTTGAATGATTTGTTTGTATTACAAATTGATTTTGTTGTATTTTTAATTTTATAAGTTTTAATTCATTAATTATTAATGTTGGAGCATTTTAGAAAATGTGGAGAAAATGGCCCAAAATAAATATTTACAAAATAGGAAAAAAATAAGGCTTAAAAATAAATTTTTGAAGAAAAAAGTCTAATCCGCAAACCGCCCGCACATCCGCGAACCCTATCCGTACAAATCGCAAACCGCACTGCGGGCGGTTCCGGGTTGTCTTTTTCCCAAACCGCATAGATGCGAGCGGGTCCAAACCGATCCGCAAACCGTCCAAATCCGAACTGTGAACACTCCTACTTCTCTCCCTTGTTCTCTCATATTAAATTATTTAGCTTGTAGTTCTTTTAATTTTTATTTTGGATAAATTATAATTTGTCTTTTTATTTTTTGGTCATTTTCTTATTTCAACACTTAAAGTTTATTTTTTTCCTACTCCATCCTTTCATGTTTCAAATTTTTTCAATTTATTCTTAAAGTTAACATCTATTAAAAATTAGACAGAAAATAATACATTGACAGTCATGTAACATAAAAATATTTTATTATATATAATTTACATATTTGACACAAACTCAAATATTAATATAATAATATATTTTTTTATGTTGTTATGTGAGTATCTAATTTAAAATAGAAATTAATTTTAAGAGGAGTAAATTTTTTTTAAAAATGTCAAAATAATAAAAATAATAAAAAAAAATCAAATTTTATTAACCAAAGTAAAAAAATATTAAACATAAAGGAAGCCGCTATGCTTATTATTGGAGTATGCATATGTCCACCAAATTAGCTACATGCCTTCTTAGCAAGTTATATTGTCAATGTTGCTTTCTCATTGGCAATCATTTTTTTTAATATACTTTTCAGACTTTATGCAGTGGTATGCCCTATTCTAATTGATAGCAACAAAGAATCCTAAATAAAAACAATCAATTATTTTCTTGACCCCATTATGCTTAGTGTTGCTAACAATCACAATTTACTTATAAAAGGATATATAAATATATAAATGAGAAATATCAAAAAAATGGAGAGTAAAAATATAATTTAAAAATGATAGAGATATAAGTGATTTATGCATTGAATTATGTAAATAAATCTTATACTTCTATCATTTAATAATTGTTTTTATTACTTTTTACTTTTGTAATAAAATTCTCCCTATATAACTATCACGAATTATTTCTATTTACACATATGATAGTATAGTAGTATGCAATAATAAAATTTAAAAAATTAATATAATAGGAACTCCTTAATTGCCATGTCTATAGAAATAATCTATAAAGATTACCATAAGCATTATTCGAACAATAACTACAAAAACAGATTATTAATCATAGTAAAATACAAATTCAATATGATTGTAGAGTAGAATTTACATGCAAATGTTCACATCATTGCGTTTTCCAACAGCGCTACAAATCTATACTTATTAACCCATAATTTATTAAGGAATCAATCATTCAAATTTATTTTACTTATGAATTCATATTTTATCAATTTAATTTTCATCATAAAAACACATTCAGAATAAATTATGAATTGACAAGAGTAGATTTATAGAATTTTTGTTAATTAATAACTTTAAAATATCATATGACACTATTCATGTGATATTTTTAATCATAAAAAAATCTTACAAATAAGATAATATTGATTTATCTTTATTAAATAATTTAAACAATACCGCTATATCTATCGAATTTGTTCAGTCCGGATTCATCTGAAACTCTTTCCAAGAAGAGTTTCCAATTCGGTAGATCAATCATTAGTCTTTCTAACAAAAGTGAAATTGTAAAATAAATTGAGTGAGTTATTTTTTACCTTTTAAATCAGATTAATGCATGATTCATCCACTAAATTTGTTCAGGCCGAATTTGTCTGAATAAGACTCTTCTGGAAAAGCGTTTTCAATTCGATGGATGAATCAATAATCTATCTAACGAAAGTGAAATTGTAAAATAAATTGAATGAGTTATTTTTTATTTTTAGATTAAATTAAGTGTTCAACCCAAATTTATCTGAATGAAACTTTTTCTAAGAAGAGTTTCCAAATCCGAAAGGAGTCTCATCTGAATAAATTCAAGCCGAATAAATTCGATAGATATAGCATTTACTTGTGAGTTAGAAATAATAGATACTTAAATAAAAATAAAAATAAAAAAATGCCACAGGGTCATATTTTCACAATCAAGGCTCATGAGGCCCAGTTTTCTTACACGTGTACGGATAAGTTTCGCTATTCACAATGAAAAACACGTGCACGACTCGGCTCCACCAATAGACCGCTGCTGTCTTTCCATCAACTAGAGCCGAGTATATCTCTCTCTCTCTCTACCCAACACTTTCTTTCTTTCTCTCTCTCTCTCTCTCTCTACACAGACTATGTTGATCCTCTCTTCCTCGCCTCACGGATACGTCTTCTCCACCACAGCTAGGGTTTCTTCGTCATCTTCAGTCTCCTCGTCTTCCAAGCTCAGCTTGATCTCTTGCTCGTTGCCTCTTCGATCGAGCGTTCGCAAGTTTCCGTGCTTCGTTCTTTGCTGCTCTTCGAAGGCTAGAGGAATGGTGGAGATGGTGCAGGACAAGGAGTCTGCGGTGGCCGTCGCCGCCTCCAGCTCCCCGGCGGACCTCGGCCATTCACGTACATTTCTCGATGTCCAGACCGAGGAAGGTCAGTTCTCTCTGCACTGCCTTGATTCAATACTCAATTTGTTAACTTGACGCATTGCTTTCGGATTGTTTATATTTCACTATATTCTCATTACAATTAGTTTTATATATGATTATTTTGTGTATATGCATGTATAAATGTGTTTATGTGATTAGAGGAGCTCGTTGATTCTTAATTCTGTTTAATTGCTCGGTATTTTCTGTTAAATGAATATCTGGAATGCGTAATTTTGTCATTAATTGTTTCTAGGAGTAATTATTGCAAGAAGTTGATTGTTTAGATTTACATTGGTAGCTAATGGTGTCTACACGCAGTCGGTTGTCAGATTTCAAGTAATTCTGCTAGTTTTGCATGTTGAGGGGGCTGAATTTACCTGTTGGGATAATGTGAGGCAATCGCGAGTTATTGGTCCTGGATCTGGATGCTGTCTGGCATCTGCATTGACGGTTTATTTGGCGCTTTTATGAACTATGCATTGTTGTCATATTGCTATCGGTTATTGCCGTTGATATATTTATATATGTATGTATCTATATAATATTTGTTTTGATGCATGGATATTTGAAATTGTGGCTGTTCAACAATATTGTGCCTATAGCTGTCAAATTACTTTTGGTGGCGTTGGCATTTAGAGTTCACATGCTTTCAATTGACTTCCGAGACTTTGGAAGCAAGAAAAAGGCAAAAGTGTTGTTGATTTGCGTAGTATTTATTTGGTTGGAAAAGAATGCATTGATTTTTTATTAATAATTTGGGGATGTTAATTTGTTTTGGGATAGTGTCTTTTTGCATCGTTTTGGGCACCTGTTTTTTTTATTAATAATTTGGGGATGTTAATTTGTTTTGGGATAGTGTCTTTTTGCATCGTTTTGGGCACCTGTTTCCCCCCGTTTAAAGAGATCTCGTTTTTTCTTATTTCTATAGATTGTATATGTTTGGTTTTGAAATATATTTTTTTTTTTTTTTTTTTTTTTTTTGGGGGGGTTGGGGGGGTTTGTTTCTTCCTTAGTATTTGTTAGCATCGCCTTGATGCTCTTGAATTAATAATATTGACTTTTATTTATCCAAAAAAAAAAAGAGAAGTATATACTTACCTCCTACATTTTGAGGTATAATCCATGTCACTATTCCGGTTTGGTCCAAAACGGAGGATCAAATTTCCTATGCATAACTTGTATCCGTGTGCTTCATTTCCAGAATTTGCTACCATAAAAATTGCCTATCCTTGTTCCCTCACATATATCCCATGAGCTTTTAGTTCTAGAGCCGAAGATTATTTCTTGAATAATAGATTGTCAAGCATTCTTGAGATTTGTTATTGTTTCTGTAGTGATTGTGGCACTAATCCTGGTACTTTGAATGATCAGCCTGTTTTACAGGGTAGAACATGGAGGGGGTTAGTGTCACTTTCTTTGTGTACAAGCAGGACCATCCAAATTTCAAATGGAATACATGTACATTATTTAACAACATATTCAAAGATATTTATGAAAACTAATATCTCAAACTTTTTAAGCTATCTCAACATGTAGTTATTACTATGCTTTGTCAATACCTCACCCATGCACACAACTTTGACATCTTCATAGATTCAGGCCATTCTTAATTAGATTGGATTCAGAATTTCTTTAGTTTGAAATAAGATCTGGATGATTTGCTGCTGTCTTATGTGGGGTTAGCATTTATTTTTTTATAGATCTGCTTTCCGGAATAAAGAAGGAAGTAGAAGCTGGAAGTATTCCGTCAAATGTTGCTCAGGCAATGGAGGAACTCTATCAGAATTATCGAAATGCGGTAAATTAATTCTCTTGAATTTATGCTATTATGTTCTAGAAAGATGATACTACTACTTTTTTATTTATTGACACAATGCTCTATTTTTCTACTCTTAGAATTACTTCATATGGTTGAGCACTGCTGATCTTTCATTGATTTGGCATTTCTTACTAAAAATATTTCTATTTGTTGTCGTTTGCTTCTTAAGTAAGTTTACCATACTATTGGAACATAAACTTAAAATGTATAAATGCTAAAATTGGAATTACAATTTAATTTTGGAAATGTGGTTTTCTACTCTCTGGCCAAGCAATTTGACACAGTTTTTTTATAGCTGTTCTGCATCAATTTCCTTTATTGACTGAAAATAGGATGATGTAACATTCCCTTTTACATATCTTGTTGTTTGCTTTAAAATTATAATTGCTGCGACTATTAGTCTTATCTTTCTAATTAGGAAGATAGGTTTATAGTTTTTTGGTTGCAACTTGTAAGTAAAGAAACCACTATATGCGCATAACCTATGTACATCAGAGTATATGGTTGCCACACAAAACTAAGCTTATACGAGAACCTCAAGTCTCTGACAAAATCAACAAAAGACAATAAGTAGTTGGAAAACTTTGCTGAGCCAAAACACACACACACACACACACTGCAAGAAAAGCACAACATTCTTCAGTTTGTCAGTAGATGTTCTTAGTGTAGTAAGTACGCTTATTTCTCTCCCTCTTGATACACCCAGTTGAATGAAATGGGGCAAAAAGGGCATGTCCAAGAACACCCAGTTGAACCTAGAACTGAGCAGGGCATAACCCTGTATGCACCAAAAGATGGTTAAAATTGAGTTCTAGAGACCTCTAGCAACCTGTAGTCCTATGCAATACCAATTTGAGAGCATCTTTTGGTGCATCTTCTTTGCCTTCCTAACCCTGTACGCCAATTGACAGTTCCTCTGCAACACCAATTTGAGAGCATCTTCTCGCCTTCCTAATATCAATGGTCATGGATGTGGACTAAACAACAATTGGCACTTTGGAAGGCACCCTGACACGCCAAATGCCCTTCCCAGGGATTTTCCATGAACTTCCTTTCCTACTATCTGCAAGTCAGCTAAACAAGTTCTTTGTTGCTCTGGAAAGGGAGGCCCCATTAAGCACCTCAAGGACCTCATCTGCCCATTCTGGTTTTAATTTTACACTACATTCATAAATCTAGACCAGCAAAAGAATGTTCTCCTGTTTTTCCAGACACACTAGGTCCACATATTCTTGTACAGTCAAAGGGGGATTGATTCCATAAAAGATGGTTCCTTATATGAATATAGGAAATTTCCAAACACGGTGGGAGCTATCTACTTTCTACCCTTCAATATCTGTGTTTGGGAGGGAAAAGATTGGGTACACACCTAACCTTTGGCATAGTGTACAAAGTGGTTGCCGTGTGATTTGAACCCATAACCTCAAGGTTATTAGGCCAAGATTTTACCATTGAGCCAGTGGTCACCCTTTATACCCTCTAATATCTATTTAAGAAAAAATATTCTAGATATTTGAGGTGACATTGCTCATATATACTTGAACTTGTTGGACTCCCTAGTATCTTTCGTTCTCTTACTCCCTGGTGCTAGTTCCTCTTTTTACAATATTTGTTGGACGGTGCATATTAGGGACGTCTACAAATTTGGTCTTGTTTGTTTTCATTGGTGCATTAAGTCTGGCCCAAACACCCGGATGTCAAAAAAAAAAAAAAAAAATAGTTGGAGCTTTTTTCACTTTCTTTTCTTGAACATAGGCGTTTCCATTTTCCCATCGATAATGGCAGAAAGTGAGGCTGAAAACCAAATGAAGATGAATTCTTTCCAATGCATCTGCATCAATGTCAGGCCACTGTAAATCTTAATCACCCCATCTTTACATGTTTAATGTAGTTTTGTGACAGTCCTATAGGTTAGGCTGTCATGATTCTTTTAATATCTTCGTGAAGTGTCCAAAATTAATTTATCTATATATTTATTTTTCCTATTGAAGGCTTTCAAGCTTCAATGATGAGTACTCGTGCCTGTAGGGCTTGAGAGGAAACAGTAAGTTGAACGAAGGAAAACTATACTTTCTTAGAAGGATTATCTTCTTTATCATTGGAAATTTAGCTTGGTGCTATTTCCAGCTTGGCAAAATCTTCTTAAATAGTATACAAAACTTTTTTAATTCAGTCTTTGGCCTTTTCTTTATTTTTCTTTTCAATTTTGTGATTTGTTGCTATATTCATTATTGCAAATAAAAAATGTGAATTTTATGAAAAGATTAATTTATATAAATTATCTTTAATGATGATAAATCAGGTTTTTGTATATATTAGGTTATCTTCAATCTCATATGTTACGTATAGCCTTTCCCGTTTTGGATGTCTATATACCATAATTTTTGTGTTATGCTTTAATCTTTCAGGTTTTCCAAAGTGGAATTCCCAATGCAGATGGGATTGTTTTGTCAAACATGACTGTTGCACTTGATCGTATTTTCAAAGATGTGGAGGTTACTGGACATGTGTACTCTATCAAGTTGTTTATAGATTCTGATGGATTTGCAATTTCATGAACTTAACAGTAACTTTTCAGGATCCTTTTGTCTTCTCGCCATATCACAAAGCCATACGCGAACCTTTTGATTACTACATGTTTGGTCAGAATTATATCCGTCCTTTGATTGATTTCAGGTGAGCATATAATTTTAGATTTGTAGCTTTTGTCTTATTTACTTTTATTGAGTGATTTTGAAGTAGTTATATAGATATTTAATTAATGGAGTTCAAATGAAGTAGTTGGAAAGTTTGAAATGTGACAGTGTGCTGCATGTACGTTTGTGCATGCATGCATATATGATGTATATTTATTTCAAAGTACAAACTGCAAGTGGAAACATTGACACTTAACAAATATGCGCTATCTCCACCAATAGAAACTAATTATATTCCTTCAATATTACACATTAGCTCTTAGCGTAATTCTACTTACTCAATCATTTTAGCTCATTACATCTATTAGTTATTTATTTATTTATTTTACAATTTTGTCCCTTAACAAAATTACCTTTTAGGACAAAGCCCCTAAAATTCATAATCAAAATTTTCTCCTTACCCCCTTCTTTTCATTCGCCGGCCACCACCGACCACTAGGCACCACCGCTACTACCCTTTTCCCACCTCACTGACCACCGCCGTCTTCTCTCCCTACTTTCTCAACCATCGCCACTACCCTCTAGCCCCCCTTTTGTCTGCACCACTCCCCTGCCCCCGTAACACCTTTGCACTGCCACTTCTTCCTAGATCCATCACCCATCACTCAACCATTCCCCACCCTTGCACCACCTTTCTCTGCCACCCCTAACCAAAATCTACCACCTCCGCCATGCCGTAGCCCACCCATTCTCCACCCTCATACCACCTTCCTCTGCAACCCCTAACCCAAATCATCCACCACCACCACCACCACCACCACCACCTTTTCTTCTTCTCATTTGAAACCCTAGTTTCTCTCTCTCTCTCTGTGGGGTAAATGAAGGTTGGGAGGAGGGATCGCGTTGTGTGGATGGCTGGGTCATGATGGAGAAGCATGTTGGGTAGATCGCGGTGGTTAAGATCGCGTTGGAGGGGGCAAAGGGGAGGTCCCTAGTGGAAAGGGGGCCGGGGAGGGGGTTGCCGTTTTGGGAGTTGTCGTAGGGGTTGGATCGCAGTGGTGGGAATGGATGGGGCTGGTGGTTGGCAGTGGTGGTAGAGTGGGAATAGAATTAGTGTTTGAAAAGTTAAGGGGTGTAAAGAGAAATGGAAATTGTAGGGATGAGGATGTTTTGGTATTATGGTGGGCGTAATGAGATAGAATGAGAATTTTGAAATTTGAGAAGAGTGTAATTAGAAAATGGGTGTAATGAAGTGATTTTGTTGTGTAAATAGAATAACCCTAACTCTTATCTATGTTACACGGACTCTTTGAAATTTCGGAGGTACCCGTGTCGACACGACACGACAGGGGTACGGGTGCGGGATACGGCTCATCACAAATGGATACGGCTATGTTTTGCCCTACATAGAGAAGCAACGAAATAGCCCTAAATACAGAAGAGAGGAAAGAGGAGAGAGCAAGAACCTGGTTGCCGACTTCTCTCTAGTCGCAGGCTTCGATCTCACCCCAATCGATCCTTCACTCTTGATCTCGTCTCCTGTTCTTTCGTCTCTCGATCTCCTCTTGTCTCAATCTCTCCTGTTTTGTCGTCTCTCGATCTCATCTTCTCTCGATCTCCTCTTCTCTCCCATACTGCTCTCGATCTCTCGATCTCCTCTCGATCTACCATGTCTGTCTATCTATTCGTATATCTATCTATCATTATAATAACTATAATAATATATAATAATAATAATAATAGTTAATAACTATTAATAGTTCATAATTATAATAATAACTATTATTATTATATATTATATATTATATAATAATTATTATATAACATATAATATATTTATAAGATAATATATACTTATATATATTAATAAAAAATAAATAAATGCATGTATGTAAAATGAAATAAAAAAATTTAATTAGAACACATTGTTTAAAAAATATAATAAATAAATTAAATAATTAATGTATATTAAAATAAAAATATTATAAGAATATATATATATAATATAACTCATCTTCATAGATTTTTATTTGTTATTTATATAATATAACTCATCTTCATATAATAAATATATATATATTTTTTAAATTATTTAACGTATTCCCGTACCCGTATCCAAATTTGGATACATATCCACGTATCCTTAATTTTTAATTTTAAAGTGTCCGACCCCTAGATACGCACCCGCACCCGATACCCGTACCCGAGTCCGTGTAACATAGACTCTTATACAAATGAATTCCTGTTTTGATTTGATTGGTAAAAGCTATTGGTCATAAGTTTGACTAGTTTTCTTTGTTGGGAAATTGGTTGGTTGCTGTTAGACCTATGTTTCATTTGAATAGCTTTCTCTTTGGTATCGATTGAGATTTGGTGATTTCATTAATGTGAAGGCACATAATTAACTATGGAGATTATTGCAACCTTTTTTCTTTTATTGGAAAAAATGCGTAAAATTTTTTAGGAGATGGGAGAGAAATCTGAAAGAAGGTGAAGGAGATCTTCAGCTGGAAAAAATGAAAAATTACATAGATATTTGTTTGGTTCTTTTTGCTCCACACGTTCACGAGTCGAGCCCCTTGGTGCTTTTATATTACATCTTCTTTGGCAGAAAGAGAGTAAAATTAGATGGTTTAATGACGCAATATAAACATACAGAACTTTTCCCACTATGACTCAATCTCTACTGGGCATTTTTCCGCCTTCTAACATTTTATAGGCCACTATTTTTATCTCTGTAGCTAGGTACTGCACTGGACATCACAGGGAACCAGAGGCATTCTAACTAACTAGTATCGTTATGTATTCATTTTTATTTTTGGGTTCTTCAGAAGAGTAAAAGTAACCAACAACACAGCAACAAGACTAAACAAACTATGGTCAGGCTATACGTGCCAGATTGCTGCCAAGCCTAGGCTTAATGCCTGCCTGGCAAGCATCAAAGATCAACTGACTTGCAGTCTGCTGGGCTCTCAATATCATAAGGAAATTCCACTTAAGGATTGCACTATTTATGTGGGTGCTGCGGTCTCCAGTTCATATTCATCACTCTACAATCCTATGTCCTATGTTTATTTGTCCTTGGCAGATGGAGACTTCTGTTGCCAGAATAGTGTTCAAATCTTGTCTTAAATTAGAACATTCAGATCTAAGTCTGGAAGAAAAGAACTCCAATAATAAATAATGATGTTAATCTATTTTCTTGTAACCATTTAGTTAGTGGGGAACGTGCAATACTATTCTCAAACCACAGTAGTGACTATTTTACATTTTTGAAAATTTTATTTTATGATGAAAGAACTTTGTTCATTCCTGTCCTTCACCTAGATTGTCTTTGTCTCTTCAGGAGTTCATATGTTGGCAACGTCTCCGTTTTCAATGAAATGGAAGAGGAGCTTCGACAGGTGCCTCTTTATTTTTCTTTCTTTTTTTATTTGTTTTTGTTCTGTAGTATTAGCTGGTGCTGATTCTATTACATGAAGTTAATTCTCTCATAATTAATGATCATGGGAGATTCAGAAATTATTGATTAATAAAATAATTATTTGAGTATTAATGTTTCTTCTTGATTTTTAATAAAGGAAAAACTAGTTCATGGTTATAGAAATTTGACAAAGATACAACATGCACATATATTTTCAAGTGTAATAAATCTTTTATGGAAAATATATATTATTTATTTTCTAAAATGTCAGGAAAATACTATTTTATAAGCAAAATTATTAACAGAAATGCCAAAAAGGGGGCAACTCATGTACACTCAAGAAGCCCGAATTACCAATCACTATTGTACTTCTTATCTATTATACATATGCATGTGCATGTGTATTTTCAATCCCAGAAACTTATTAATTATGACCATGGAATGAAGTTGGTTTTTCAAAAATTATTAGTTATTAGATGTTGATAGTGGTCTACTGGTTTTACTCTCTCTCTCTCTCCACCTTTTCCTATGCTAGTGGTACTGAGTTGAAGTTACATTCTCCTCTCCTTTTGATTGTACTGCAGCATCATATTAATGGTCATGATAATTTTTGCTTTGTTTTGTTTATGTGAAATGTGATTTACCCAACCAAGCTGTAATGGACCCCACTCGGGGGGTCATTTGTGCACTTTTATTTGTTTTTTTGCTTTGCTTTGCTTTGCTTTGGGTATATGATTCTAGTGCTTTGATGTGGCTTGTTCACAGGGGTCCATTTGTACACTTCTATAGTTTAGGGGGCAAATTACCTTTTCTGGGTTTGTAACCTTTTGTTCTTCTTTTTCTTTTAAAGTAACCCAAAAAAAAAAAAAAGAAAAAAAAAAGAAAAAGAAATCTAGTTAATTTTTGTAGCATGCCTGCATCTGCTCCTTCCTAAGTTTTTCAGAGCTGTTTTGAGCCATGGAGAAATTATAGATGCTTGTTTTGGTGAATTCTTGATGCTATTCTATTACTTTTCTATTTGTTCCTGATGCTATTTTTATCTTTGTACTTGTTAAGATGTAATCAGAACTAAAATAACCATGAAATGCAGGGCCATAATATTGTCTTGATTTCCAACCACCAGACTGAAGCAGATCCAGCTGTTATTGCATTGCTGCTCGAAGCAACACATCCACATATTGCTGAGAATGTGGTGATGGTTTTTTATACAGCTTACTGGAGCAACATATATGCGTTCAGAATTATTTGTTTGACCCATGCCTAAATATTTTGTGCAGACCTATGTGGCTGGAGATAGAGTCATAACTGATCCTCTTTGCAAGCCCTTCAGCATGGGAAGGTGCTAATAAAACTTTTTCCTATGCAATCAAATTAATTTAAAAAATACTATATTGTCCTTGTTCCTTGTTCATACTTTTTACCTCACACTTTTGTGTACCCTAGGAATCTCCTGTGCGTGTACTCAAAAAAGCACATGTATGATGTTCCTGAGCTTGCTGAGATGAAAAAAAGATCCAATACTAGAAGTTTAAAGGAAATGGCTTTGCTTTTAAGGTACATATAGTACATTCTTTAACATTGTGCTATTTATATTTTGGTTTTTTTAGTAAGTAAAGCAAATCCACTAAACTCTCCAGAAGGGGTGAAATAATCTGGTCACTTGGCCAACCCCAAGCCTCTTTTACAAGTTCTTGTGTTTTGATCACAGAGAGGAACAAAACTTTAATCTATTTAGTAATGCATTACGTCAAATTTTGTTCTCTGATCTGTACTCACAGTATCTCTACCATGGTTAATTAGTTTGTTGATCCTTTTTAACATGCTTGATTCTGCATTGAAGTTGTTCTATGACTTCGCTTACATGACACCAGGGGTGGATCACAAATAATATGGATTGCACCAAGTGGGGGAAGGGACCGCCCAGATCCTATCACAAAAGAATGGTATCCGGTGCGTTTTCACCCCTTTCTATTTTGGGTTGGGAAAGAAAGAGTATTAAAAATAAAAAAAAGAACAGTTCAAAGCTGGAAATGTTTGGTACCTTATCATATTTTCTTGCCAAATTAGTCATCTTATTTATATAGATTTTGTTTGTATTTGCATAAGCATATTTTTTCTTTTATTATTTTAAAAAATCATATTTTTTCTTGGCAGTTGATTTCGTAACTTGTATGGGTGTCTGCATGATATCTTGACTAGATGTCAGATGTTAAGAATTTAGGTATACAGTGGTGCTGGCTTTATTCCATGTGCACTGTAACTGGAACTTATAATAGTATACTCGAGTTTGCATCTTCAGGGAGAAATATTCTCATGGATCCTGATATTGAGAGGATTGTGTGTTCATATGCTTTGAAGCATACAACTTTTCCTTTTTGTTGTAATGCAATAATGTTCCTTTCATACTGATAAAAGTTGTTCAGGCACCCTTTGATGCTACTTCAGTGGACAATATGAGAAGACTCACAGAACATGCTGGTGTTCCTGGTCATATATATCCCTTAGCAATACTATGCTATGACATTATGCCCCCTCCACCCCAGGTTCATGCTTACTCCTGATAGGTTAGTCTTTTGCGATGTCATAATCTTTTCTCTTACGACAAACATTATTTTGCAAGGTTGAGAAAGAAATAGGAGAGAGAAGAGATATCTCCTTTCACGGGGTTGGAATATCCGTGGCACCCCCAGTCAGTTTTCAGGACATTGCTGCTTCCCATGGTGACTCTGAAGAGGTTGGTCCTATCCTTTTCCTTTCCTTGAATGAAGAATAGCAGAATGATAGTGTGAGGAAAACAACTGTGCTTTATTCTGATAATTACAATGATGGAAAATCCACCTGTTTTAACATCTAAGTATCAGTTTTTACACTGAAGATTTTTTCCTGTTAATCTTAAATTATTAAATCACCACCAGAATGAATCTGGAGATAAAATTGTAACATATTTTATTTTCTTGAACCTGTTATGTTTGCAGTTCCACTGACTGATGACGGTATTATAAGTGCCGTCATCTTTTACAACACCTTATCAAATATGATTGTAGCTTTCCTTTTGACCATTCCTTTTTCTTGTGATGGCTCCACTTCACAGCTGTTGATCTGGGTAGTAGTGCTCAGATCTGTCTAGTTACAGCTCAAGAATCATTGTAGAGATGAAGTTGCTTTTTCTGAAGTGGATTTTGTGCTTGGTGAAATGCTTATGTTATAACTGTTGGATGTTGATTTTCATAATGAAATTATCGTAAGCATAGTAAAAAGACTTAAGCATAAGCATTGACTCATTGCTCTAATCTGTTACCCTAGGGTGGTAGGTGGTGCTGCTTTAATTCACGAATCAGCAAATTGAGAGCAAAAATTGCTGGCAATCTGCAAATTTGTTTCCCCCAATTTGCAAATTCTTTTTAGCTAATCTGCAGATTCAAGATGATTTTTGGTTTATCATATGATTTGCTGACACATACCATGCACGACAGACACCCAAACACTTAGGTTGCCCATGTTATCATGTACTGCACACCACCCAAACACTGGTGTGGATTTTTCTACACAAATAATTGGCTGCATTGATGAGGCCAAACACATATAATATAGTGTGCTCATTCCAAGTATAAGCTCGTAAAAGACTAATGGCAGTACACCGACAGCTTCTACCATTAGTATAGCTTCCATGTGCCACTTTTTATGCTTGCTTAAATATTCTTTTTTTGGTAAATGTTAGCTCTCTCTCTCGAGCCTCTAATATTAAGAAACATATAAAAACTTATATACATATGTATATAGATGCTTTAGAGGTGCTCTCAATCTTATAGTGTTTTAGAGTTGGCACTCTTGCACTCTTGCTACGGCTCTCACTTGGACTGTGACTTGTGGCATTATTTCCACTAAGTGGTGCTTTTAGACTCAAGCCCATGCCCTCAAACTTGCAATTGTCAACGGCACGTAGTTTATGGAATCAAGCATAGCATGACCAAATAGCCAGCATAGCTACTATGGTCTGATATCTACTGTGTTACATGGACTCATGAGGGGTGTCAGGTGCAGCCTGTGTGGGTATGCATTTAATGCTTTATTTGGTTGATTAGAATAACGTGGAATGGAATAGAATGGTCATTCCTTAGGTTTGGAATGATCATTCCCTTACAATGGTGAATAACAATTCTATGTTTTTTCTATCATTTTGTTAGTCAACTAAACATGAGAATGGACAATTTGATGGAATGATCATTCCATTCCACTTCATTCCGATGAACCAAACATTATATTAGTGTTGGATTCAACTAATTCTCATGTCCAAGGTCGTTAGGGCAACTATATTTCGTATTTCTTAAATGCTTCTTTTACCTACTTTGCATAAAATGGTCATAACAAAGTAACATAGAGTATTTATGCATAAAATGAGAATTTTATACATTGTTATAGACGAAACTAGATTCTATACTACTTTACAATTTTAGAAGAGTTCATGTTACATAGGATATCTGCTTACATTTACTAGGATAGGAGTAAAAAAAGCACATTCATTGAACATAGGAGCATTTTACAGATCATAATGAGAGAGGGCAGTGGTTAAATAAAAAAAAAATAAAATAATGAGAGAGGGCAGTGGAGTTGGCTTTTACTGTTTTAATGAAGAAAATTCAGCTGTCTGTCATTTGACTTGACGTTTAAGTAAATATTTATCATGTAATACACTAAATAGGCTTGTGAATGCTCTTTGTGTCTTATGTTATGGGCTGCAGAGTTGAAATCCATCCACTAAGTTTTATCAAAAATTGCCATTTGAGTCACTTCCAAATAATTGAATTTGAGTTGAAGCCACTTAGCCAAGTCCTTTCGTTCACATTTCAACAAATTTGATTCTAGTACATTGAAATGTAGCTTAAAGCTCTTCCAATTCTATCACTTTACTAAATTACACTATCGTTAGCGAATCATATCAGAATCAATTTGACCTGCAAACATGTGTGTGGTCTACTTTAATTGGTTTCAGAAGCTAACTGTTCTGTATTGCAGGCTAAGACGGCATATACACAGGCCCTATATGATTCTGTTGTGGACCAGTGCAATGTGCTCAAATCTGCTATACATGGCAAAAAAGGTCTGGAGGCATCAGTTCCTACTATCTCATTGTCGCAACCATGGAATTAGTCAACCACTTGTACTATAACCTGTTGCTCTATAATCAGGTAGTTTATTTTTGTCTTGGTTCGCAACATTTATGTCCTTTACAGCTCTTACTGAAAACTAGATTCAGTAGTAAAATGCTCTCCATATTCCTAAAATCAATGCCTTTCTGGCATGGACTTTCTTTGCTGTTGTACAAATGCTCTCTCTCTCTCTCTCTCTCTCTTTCTCTCTCTCATCCAAATGTCATCATTGTGCTACAATGAACATCCTCAACTGCCTTTTTTGTCCCTCCAGGATGGAAAATTTGACTTAATAGTTACCCTATGAAACTTATTGATGGAAGAGTTGCAAATAATTAGGAAGGTTGTGAAGAGCTGAGATTTATCATGTTATTTTGCAGGCTAAGACAATCCTTTTTGACGTAGTTTGTATAGCTTCTCAACAGGTCTGTTCTCTTAATCTAGAAACGATTGCCCGAGGAAGCCTTAGTTTCATAACCAAATTGCATCTCCGGTGAATTCTGCTATCATTGATCCAGTTTTCACGTGCTCATTTTTTTTGTGGAGATGAAATGAACAGAAACTGGAGTTGTCTTGGAAGCTTTGTCTGAGGTGCGTACTGTACAGTTTGTTAGTCTTACTTCTTGTAAAGAATTGAGCCATTCGTTGGTGAGGAACTCACTTTGTATATTTTACCTATACTGTGTATGAGATTTTGTTTTCAAATCATCCAAATCTGAATCACCAAATTTCCTCATCTGAAAATGATACCGAGGAAATAAAAATGTTACAAAGTGGCAGAGTAAACTTTGATGGTGCTTACTCCCCCACCCCTTTTTTTAATCTCGGTAAATTTACTGCCAATTTAGTAAGACTTTTAAACCGTGACATTTCAAATCATGTAGTGTTTAACACGGTTCTTTTGTCTCTATTCTTTTGATTGCTTGAGTGTCTTCGGTTCGTTTCAAAAATCAGACATCAACACTGTTTTCTTGCATAAACATACAAAACTAATGTCTGGGAATGGAAAAAAGGTGAAGTTAATTGACACGAAACATTTCGATGACATTTCAAGTGTCGTCATGGCTATGTTATGTCGTTTCATATTTGGGATGTTATTGTAGTTCTTAATTAGTTAGCATCATGCTTTTGGGGTGTGTTCAATGGAGTAGATTGGTGTCTCTCTTTGGTTTGCTTGCTATGGAGTATATTCTTGGATGGTCTAAGGGCATTCATAATAGGATGGCTAAAATTGTTTGTTATATGACAAAAAATGATAAAAGTGGGGTCTAAAAATATGTGTTAAGATGTGTTAAGGGTTTGTTAATTTTAGGGAGTGAGTGGTGGTACAATGAATGTGTTAAAGTGTGTGTTAAGATATGTGTTAAGTGTGTATAGATATATATATATATATATATAAATATATAATAAATAAAATAAATATATATATTAAACTATTTGAATAGTTTAATAATAAAAAAATAAAGAGGTACAAACTTTAAGAAACTATATAGGAACTTAAAATTTGAATTTAAAATTAAATTAAATTCCCACAATTACAAATTTTAGGAAACCACTCAGGAATCTCAGAATTTGAATTTAGAATTAAATTAAATTCCCACAATAATTTTTATTGAAAATTTTTTAAACTTGAAGGGTCGGGATGTCCGAGGGGACGACTGGCCGGACATCTAGCTGGACTACTCTATAGCACTTCCCACGGCCCCTCTCTCCCTCTTACTAGCTAAAATGTTAGCCACAGTTAACACACAAATTGACACAAGTTAACAACTGACACCTTTAACACATCTACTAGCAGTTTCACTGTGAGAGCAAAAATAGAACATGGCTGGCTAAAAAGTAACAACTGACATTAACACATGCTCTAACAGCTCCATTGTGGATGCTCTAAGTCATTTTTTGGTCTTCTTGTACGGCTTTCCTTTCTTCTCCTGTGCTTTTTCAGTTTTCAAAAATCTGTTTTATGATCATTTTTTTTTAAAAAAAGTAATCTAGTTTGATGGGGAAAAAAAAAAAAAAAGAGAATTTGTTTTGAGGTCTCTCGTATTAAGATTTTATAACATAAATGACAAAATATTTTCATAATAGTTGGAGTTCTTCAAATTTCGATCCAGATAAATTTTGAAGGAGAGAAATTTTGATATAGAAAATTTTTGGAACACAGATAAATTTTTCTGAAATTTCTCTAGTTTGAAAATTTTCAATCCAGAGAAATTTTGAAACAGAGAAATTCATCTGAAATTTTTGTGGTTTGAAATTTCTCTGGATTGCTTACAGATTTTTCTGTGTTTTGATCAATTTTGTCTGATTTGCTCACAGATTTCTTTGTGTTTTGATTAATTTTGTTTGATTTGCTCACAATTTTCTTTATGTTTTGAACAATCCAAAGAAGATTACAGAAAAAATTGAGCTACTCACAAACCAATTTTTTTTATAATTTTTACAAGAAAACACAATGCCAAGTTCATCAAAGAACTTAAAATAGAAAATATAATTACAGGTTAAAAAATAACAAACACTACATATCTCAAAAGATCAAAAATAAAATTCGAAATTCGAAATTAGAAATCTAGTGAAAATCAAACAAATAACATAAATTAGTAGGAGCTTAATGTGGGTGGGGATTCAAATGTTAGAGAAAATTCGACAGAAAATCAAAGAGATAACTAGTCAGAGAAAATCAAGCAAGGCACAGAGAGAGAGAGTCCAATGTGTTAAGAGAAGATTAATTTAAAGGGGATATCTTAGTACTACAGAAAATTCATCTCACAAGAAAAATCACACACAATGAGACAACTAATCAGTAAAAATTAAACAAGTAACTTAAATTAGTGAGAGTTTAATGTTTTCAGGGAAAATTCAAATGCTAGAAAAAATTCAGCTCAATGAATAACTAACCAATGAAAATCAAACAAACAACACAAATTAGTGGGAGTTTAATGTAGTCAAGAAAAATTAAAATGCCAAAGAAAATTGGAGAGAAAATCAAAGAGACAACTAGCCATAGAAAATCAAGCAAGGCATATAGAGTAAAGTGAATCTAATATGTTTAGAGAAAATTGTGATGCTAGAGAAAATTCATTTCAAGAGGAAAATTACACACAAGGAGATAACTAACTAGTGAAAATCAAACATGCAACATAATTTGATGGGCAGGGAAAATTTAGATGCCAGAGAAAATAATCAAAATTTTGGCCCAACTCAGAGAAATTTCGCCCGACTTAGAAAAATTTCGCCCAACTCAAAGAAATTTCTTTGATTTTCTTTGTATTTTGAAATTTTATCTAGTTTGAAGAAATTTCAAGAAGAAAAAAAAGAAGTAGTTTCTTGTCAACCCTTTAATTCTCCTTTCTATAAAGGAAGTAATTCAATTAGTGATGAAAATATGTGTCTTACATATATATATATATATATCGTCTGTACAGAAAACAGGGACATGGTCACCAATATATTTGTCATTCAACTTTATATTCATTTTTAAGTGCAGTAGAATCAAGAAAGAATATACACCCAGACAGCTATGGAAGCTTGAAGATGTCGAATTGTAGAAGAAGAAGTAGATAGCAGAGATATCATTCACTACCATGCCTAGTTTCTTACATTTCCAAGCATAAACCACGTGTTGGACTAATCTTTTAGCCAATTCTTCCCAAAACACCACTACAAACATCAATCCTTCTTATATATATATATAGAAAGAGAGAGAGAGAGTGTATGTGTGTGTGTGTGTGTGTGAAAGCCCTAATCAAAGTTTTTCAATGTGGACCAAAATTTACATATATATATATATATATAGAGAGAGAGAGAGAGAGAGAAAATACAAAGATGGAAGAGAGAGAAGAGATAGAAGAGAGAGAGAGAGGAATAGAGATTTATTATATGTATATATATATATATATATATATAGAGAGAGGGGTGTGATAAATGGGTGTGGGTAATAGACCTTAGGCCACAATATATATATATATATTGTGGACCTCTTCCATTACTAAAAGTTGGAGAGGGATGCTAGACCAATTTTTTCAAAAAAAAAGAAGAAGAGATAATCTTATGAAAATAATGAGTTTATTATTATACCGTAATTGTTGTTTATTATTATATTTTATGGTAATATTATGATATCTTAAAATAAAATAAAATAAAATAAGTTATAATCTTAGAATTAAAAAAAAATTAAATCTTATAACTAAAGTATTAACACTAAGATTACAAAGATTATAAATGAGACTGTATGGGGAGCAAATATTCGTCATTCTCCGTACTCCTCGTATCCAAGTTTCGCTTCACTCCGAATAACCTGAGAACACAACAACGGTGAACTACCCGGCTGGTGATGGCCGGAATACCCCTCTGACGGTCAAGTTAGCACAGTTTTTGAGAGAGAAAAGACAAAAGAGAGAGCTCTGATAACCAGAAGGTCTTGGTGTGTAAGGGTTCCAGGCCTGTTGTATGGAGGCGCTGCACAGTTTAAATAGCTTATGCGCTCACCACTCTGCTCGTCATTCTTTGGACGCGTGGCTATACTGCCCTCTTTATTCCTTACACGTGTACGCGTCAATACTACCAAACAATATTTGGCCAAATCACCAAACGGTATTGACGCACAACTTTAGTGGATTCCTTACATTCCAATTGGGCCATGTAGCAAATCCTACCGAGTTACTTCATGTATGGTGCTACAATCTGCCCTTTGGAACCGCGTTACTCTCGACCAGCTAAAATTTGAGGCGTTTAGCCGACTTCTTCAGCCGTACGCATTCGTCCCTGCTGACCTTGCTCGGCCTTGGTGTGCAACAGGTGCGTCTAGTCTGATCGGAAGCACTATCGCATCACCTAGCTCAGCTAATGATCCATGCCGAACAACTAGCTCAGTCTAACTTCCTAACCTCGGGCTAACTCAGCTACGTGATCTAGAACCTCAGCCAAATTACCCTCGGCTATGCTAACTCAGTCGCGTAATCTAACGGCAACGCCAAGTCACAACTAGCTTGGCTCGTTTGCTTGGCACAAACTTCCCTCTCAATTGCCCCTTAATTTCGTCCACATTCACGTGACCGAAATTACATTACTAGGCCGGGCTAGACTCTTTGCTCGGTGGTTCGCTTTGCTCAGTTGTTGGCCTTAAATCCCTTATGTTGTAACATGGTTGGGATTACTCATCTTCAGCTCGGTTTAGGAACTTCTTCTTACCAGGTTAAGCCCTCGGCCTACTTTGTTCAAAATGTACTCAATGTACTCCGGTCTTTGTGCTTATAGTCGGATCTTGGTCTTCGAGTTCACAAGACCTTTTTTTTTTTTTTGAGTATCTCGGCCCACCCCTTAGCGTACAGCTCGGTCCTTCATCTCAGCATGGCAACAAACATCCTGGTCTTCAAATCATTTCTTCATTTGCTCAGCCGTAGTACATGGTCTTCATTAAAGACATATTAGATATGGCCCACAACTTTTGACTTTGCAAAGCTAAACCATTTCTGAGCTCAGTTTAACTTGCGAATATCATGGCTTGTATGAAAACCATGTTGGTCAGTTGTGACTACTTTTGTTTCATAATTCGATTGGCATTAATTTGATTTGCTTTGTCGCCATCTCAGTTATGGATTATTGCTTGGTCACGAACCACTCTGGCCTGACACTTGATGTCATGGGCCCGCCTTTCTTTGGCTTAACTGTGGTGACCCTGCAAACAAACCTTGCAAACCTACTATGCTAGGCTTGACTCTTGCGACCTTGCAAACGGACCATGCAAACTGACTTTTAACAAGTTGGAGCTGGTAAATGGTGTTGCACATCGACCGGGCAAACGGAGCTTAGACATCGACCTTACAAACGGCATGCAAGTATCGGCCGAAAAAATGATGCAT